TACCACATGCAGTAGACAGCTCTATCCCTGGTTTCTTCTCACCAGCCCGACCCCCCTCATACGACAGCACCCAGGACCCCATGGGATCTCCGTGTGCCTCTATCTCTGAGCATTCAGGTTCCATTAATGCAACAGAACAAGCAGATGTAGCCTCAGACCTAAGGGGATGTCCAAACCCAGGGTGTTGGCAGGCAGCCCACGGTAGCTCAGGGGCTTCCAGCGATGGGAAGACCTTCCCGCATCTTTGGCTTCTGGTGGCCACTGACATTCATGGCCTGTGACTCTGCCTTCAGTCTGCACCCTGTGTCACACCATCTCCTCTTCTGCATCTGACCCCTGACCCCTGCCTCTTAGGACTTATGTGATGACCTTCAGTGTCCACAGGATACACAGTCCCATGTCCCCTTCCCATCTCAAGGTCCATATCTCAGCATAGTTGCAAAAACTCTCCCAGATGAGCTGCATTCATAGACTCCAGAAACCTCGCATAGATCTCTTTGGGGTACCACTGTTCAGCTTGTCACACAGGGTAACCCCAAACTCACCTCCATTTGGATACCATGAAAATCCTAATACAAGTACATGGCCTGCCAGCCCTCCATTCGTCTCCACCCAGATCTCATTTTCTAATCCCTAGGACATCCCAAACTCACTCATCTCCCGCCTGTGGAAACGTCATCTATAACCTGTGGAAAGTGGAATAATGCCCCAAAGATATCTCCATCCTCACTCCCCAGAGCCCGGACATTTTCAGTGTAACATACAGTGTATTAGTAAATTGCCAGGTGCAGTTTAAGTTGTTTAAAGAGGACCTGGGAGCGAGTAGTCTCTCTCTTGTCTCTTCCAAAGCCCCCTGTTCTGGGTCAGCCTGGACTCTGGATCGGGAATGAGTGAGGAGAAAACAGCAAATAGCTAGAAGGTGAAATATTTCAAGGAGGCTACCATTGTTTATTACAGCGTATATAAACACCTGCAGTGGGAAAGAGCAGGCAACTGCCTCGGTTTCTCCAGTCAACTTCCGCTGGCTGTTGTAAGCTCTGATTTAATGATTTTTATCTTCATTCACTCTCTCAATCAAATCAGTAAAGTCCTGATTTGACCATTCTTTGCCGTCTGTTGGCTGCTTCTATCGGCCGCCTGCTGTTTCTTGCCTTTTGTCTACTACGTGTTTAATGAAGTCATTCACTCACAGCTATAACAGCTCATTCTCCAGACAGGTACAGAACACGTGGTCATTGGCTGGTTGAAAACAAAGGTTACAGACAGGACTGGCCTTGTTGGAGACGTGGGATCTTTAAGATCAAGAGACTGTCGTGAATGTTGGGGGAGAGGCTTCAGTGGGTCCTTACCCATCAGAAGGATGAAGTGGTTCAGATGACCTCTTCTATTCCTGGCTTCCAAGCTGGGGAGAAAGACACAAGCAGGTGTGCAGGGATCTCTACAAGCTGGGAAAGGACATAGAGGGGCCTTCCCCAGAGCCTTGAAGGTCCTGGCCCTGCTGCATCTTGCTCTCAGCCTACAGCGCAACTCTGAAGGAAGGAAGAAGGGCTAGCCCATCAGCGGCATTTGTTCTAGAGGCAATAGGAACACCGGGGTGTACCCGCTCACATACCTAGCCAATGAATATCTGACCCAGAGGTCCTCAGTCAGCCCCCTGGGCCATCTGCCTTCAGCAGGAGCCCTCCTGCTTCCTCATGGCGCCCCCACCCACATTTCCCTATAGGAACAAGCCAGCCCATGGGTCAACTCTGCCTGACCTCTTCCTACCCAAGCTCTTCCCTGTATCCAGTGAGGGATCCATCAGACCTAATCAGTCAATATCCCTTCTCACCCACCTCCCTGAAGAGGACCACTCCCATCCCTTCGCCTCTCTGTCCTGCTTCCTGATGCTCACACCTATCCACAGACCCTTTGCGCGCAAACCCCACCTCAGAGTCTTTTGGAAGCCCTGAGGGTGATGGCTAACGTAACAGACAACATTGCCCCTACAAACAGAAAGTCCTGGGACACCCGTGGCCCTGTGGTCCAGAATCACAACCCCTCACCCCAGCAGTCTAGGCCACAATAGTGGGACAGAGAGCACCTCCGAACCACATCCCAAAGCTGTGGATCTACAGAAGCCTGACTTCACTGACAGCGTCCCCAGGCTGCGTCTTAGCAGCAGCAATGACTTCCAGGCTCCAGCTCTGCCCACTAGACTGAAGCAGTGGGAAATTTCCTACCTGGGAGACCCTTCTGCTGCTGTAGCAGATAGGGTCCTGCGCCCCACCCCCAACCCTGCCCCAGACCCACCGGTAACTCCTGTCAACCCGAGTCCCTCACTGCCATCACCACTACCTGCTGCCCATCCCAGGAACCAGCGTGTGGTTACCCAAGGCCTGTGCTTTCCGCCTGCCCTGCCTTTCTGGAAGGGACCTTTGCCTTCCATCTGCACGAGAAAGCCTTGGCAGCTAGGCCAGCATGGCACAGCAGTGCGCAGGACCGGCACACCGCCAAGGGCTGATAAAACAAAGGTCACCGTGGCAGTCACAGGCCTTACTGTGTGGCCAGAGGAGCTGAAACTATAAAGCCCCCACGACCTCGGTCCCGTGGGTCACCTCCTGCTGGAGACTTTCAACGCCCTCCCAGGAAGGCAGCACCGGCTCCTTCTCAGTGTTCACTGCCTGTGGCCATAGGGAATCTTAATCCTGCATGAGGCCGGGGACTTATTGCTCCACCTCACTCGGGTGACATAAGATTGCAGTGTAGCACAGAGCTAAGAGCAGGGGGAGACGGTCCGGTGCAGGGGGGGACAGTCCGGTGCATGACGCTGGTCATTCCCACCTTCAGAAGAGAGGCCCCGGTTGACAGGCAACCACACAAGGTGGAGACACCTCAGGTAGTCCTCAACCCAGCGGAGCCCTGCACACTCACAGACTCTGGTCCCAGGACCTCCCTCTCATTCCATGTAAGAGCCATTCATGAGCTGATAGGGGCTTCAGCAGGGGCCACCACATCGGGGCCAGCCCACCATCTCCTGTTCATGTGGCTTTGGGCAGGTTGTTTTATCCCTCACAGCCACGTCTCTCATGCACAAATGAGGGGCAAGCTCAACATCTGTCAGCCAGGGCAGATGCAGCAGAGAGCCCTTTATGCCAGCCCAGGATAGACCCTAGGAAAAGCAGTCCCTCCCCCCAGCTGCCCCTCTCTGGCCTGATGCTAACTCTTCATCTCAGGATACTACTGGGGTTCAGCCAGCATTGCCTACAATCTGTAACTTGGGCCCTGTACTCCCAGGGCAGGGCACCTTACGAAGCAGGAGGCCTGGGGCAGGCTAGGAGCCATCTCCACCTCAAAGCTCTACTGTAAGCCTGACCGGGGGCCGGATTCTACAGTCACCCCACATCTCCACAGCCCCCATGTCACCCTCACACAGCCACACTACCCTTAACTCCACAATATAGGTTTTCCAAGAGATTCACAGTCCTGGAACTGACCTGATCAGAACAAATGGGGCCAAGATGGGCAGGACAAGAGGTGCTGACCCCTGGCCTTGTCTACAGGCCTGGCCTACTGTCCACTGGGGCCCTGGGAAACGGCACCTCCCAGATCTGGAGCCAGTGGCCGGGCTGTGGGGTTGTCGCAATTTCTGTCAAAGGGGGAGGCAGTCATAGCTCAGGCCTTGCTATCTGGATGGCCCTGTGGTTCAGCATGAGGGCCCAGATAGGCAACACAGACCAGCGGTAACTGTACCCTGCATACAGTTAAGCAGCTCCATCAGAAGGAATTCTGTGGAGACCAGTGTGACCTACAGGTACTGTCCAGGGCCTCCCTCTTGAGGGGACAGGGAGGACTACTGACTGAAACCCACCAGGGCCTTACTGGACTGCACCCCACAGTCGTCCTGCAGAACATGGTCGTTTCTGGCCCTCGTGGACCCAGGAGGCAGCCAGGTAAGTAACCAGCTCTGGGGACCAGGTCTGTGTGACCTTCCCACTTGGGATCAGGACTTCCAGCAACAGGTGTAGGCAAGGAGCCAACTGTGGTGGGCAACGGGATGAAGGCGGTCTGGGCAGAGATCGCACAAGTCACCATGGACACTCCGGGGCGGCCACCATTCCCTCCCACAAGGTCTGAGGGGCTTCCTAAAGCGGGGACCATTGCAGACAAAACGCAGCAGCTGGGAATCCCAGAACGCTGTGTGTCCTTGTATGCATAGGGGGCCGAGGGAAGGCTCAGTCACCAGGTACCTCACACCCAGGTACCCGATGCTCCAAGGCTCTGGGCGGCTACACCTGGCCCTAGGGCTGCAATAGCCCCAAGCCCATCCCCTGCCCAAGGCCAGGCCATCTTTGGGAGGAGCAGGGAGGTGAGCTGTTTAAACCTGAATGCTGGAGCACTGTCCTCTAGCCACACAGGCTAGTAAGTGCTGCATCAGACAGCGCACAGAACCAGGGGCTGCTCCCAGGGCAGCAGGGGCCAAGTCAGCATGCCAGTCAGGCCTCCCCGCATGGGCATATCTCCTTAGGACAATGGCCTCTTCTGTGGGCACCGCCGCAGAGGCCATCTCTGACCCGCCCGGTACCTAGGCAGCTGGCAAGTGGCTCGCAGCCCCCAGGGCTCACCTCAGTTTAGGCCCTGCTTAGGGGAGAGTCCACACTGCCTACCAGAGGCTCTCAGGGCCTAGTCCAAGCCTGCTTCACTCTGAGGCTCCCCCGAACCCCGTCAACACACCACCATCACCTGTGCCTCGGTAGTCTCATGAGCCAAATGCTACTGAGCTGTGCAGACCCCACAGCTCACGTGAACAAGGCCTCGGGGAACATGAGTCCAGGGGCTGCTCCTACTCCTGGTTCCGGGGCAAGGGTGCATGAGCAAAGCCAGCAGGGACCAGCCTAGCTGGGAGCCTTCCTTAGAACTCTCTCTCTCTCACTTAAGTCAGGAATGTTTGGTATCTGGAGAGCTTCCAGACTATTCCTGGCTGGAGCGCCAGATTAGTAACACCAGCCCTCCCAGGGACCCCATCGCCCGCCTGGCCTGCACTCTGCCTCCCGCCCTGCAAAAGGGAGGTGAAGGGCCAGGGGTGTCCACGGCTTCCTGTTTCCTTTCTAGCTGGGAGGAGGAACAGCAGGCAGCAACCTCTGCCTTGTCCGTGCCCCTTCACGGACCTGTGGCCAAGCTGCTGAGGTGCCTGGGGTGGCATTCAACTCCACTGGGAGCCACTAGGCCCTGCGCACAGCAGCCCCCCTAGAAATCCGGCTGCCTAGAGGCCAGAGGGCCGCCAACCCTCAAGGCTGCTGAGGCCACTGCCCCCATGTCTCTGTAATGGAAACTTCTCAGCTGCTCTGTGAGCAAGAGCTCCAGTTCCTGCCTCATGTGGGCTCTGATCGGCAGCAGATCGCAGGACAAGGCAGGTGAGCCACCACACACAAGACAAAAATACAGTGCCGCAGGAACCCAGGTGGGGCAGGCCTTGGTGTGTGTGAGTGTGTGTGTGTGTGTGTGTGTGTGTGTGTGTGTGTGTGTGTGTATTAGTGCACACGGCCCCTGTGTCTGTGTGCATGTCATGTAAGGAAAGCCCCCCAGAGGCTCTGGCTTCCCAGCAGGCCAGGCCACCTCCAGTCCCTCTGGGGAATCTCCGGAGAGGTGATTTTGCAGCAGGAAGTCAAGCTCTGCTCAGAGGTGGGGACACCCTGCCCCTTCTTCAGGTCTCTAGCATAGCGCAAGTGTGAGGGTGGGCAGAGGGCAGCCACGGCTGCCAAGCACAGTGCCAGCCACTGGTCAGATCTGAGGAAGGACTTCCCTGTGGGGGATGGCAGGGCTGGCAGGGCACTGAAATTACCATGTGCCAGCTCTTGCACTCGGCACCCTGCCCACCCCCAGAGACTCTCCAGAACACATGGCAGACCGAGGAGGTGTGTGAAGGGGTGGCGGGCGCAAAGCACAGAGGCCAGGCTGGTGAGAGGGATGGGGCGTGGGCCACTGCTGACTCCCCAAACTCCAGGATAAGGCGAGGGAGGAGGGGCCTCTGGATAGACTTGGGGCTGGTCTCCAGAGCCCCTGGTTCGGGCCACCAGGCTGACTTGGGGACATGGCCCTTCTCTCTCTCTGTGACTGTGCTCCAGCCGTCTGCAAACACCACGTTCGCCTGCCTGGACTCGAGGGTGCCGTGTCCAAGCTTGGCTCTGAGCCTGTCTGGTGGCGTTCTTCACCTGGGTCAGGATTCCCCGCTCTTAGGGGCACTGTGCTCCCATGCTTGTCCTGGACTAGAGGGACTGGGCCTTGACTCTAAGGGGGCAGCTGCTGGGTTGTTTCCCTGAGTGAAGGACAGAGCCCCAGATACCAGCCCTCCCCAACCAGCGTGGCACAGCCATGGCACTCCCCGGGCCCCAGGCTCCTGGTACTATTTTCCACCCTTTATCACCCATCTGTCACGAGCCGGCCTCTGAGCAAATGCACTCAGGTTACGAGCTACGGCCTGTCCCTGCTGGGCCAAGGCCTCTGCTCTGGGGCCGGCAGGAGGGGGTACCAGCAGGCTTGCCTGTGTCCACTACATCCGCTACGTGAGCCAGAGATGCCCCCCTCTGAACTCCTGATGGGAGTGTGAAAGCCTGAGAGCTCTCTGCTTGATTGAGGCCACAGAGATAGGGATCCAAGGCAAATACACACACACACACACACACACACACACACACACACACACACACACCATACTCACACATATACCAAACACTTACACTCACACACACACATTCACACACACATTCACACACTCACACACATGCCACACTTACACACACCATACTCACACACACCACACACATTCACACATACCACACAAACTCACACACACACACACATACCACAAACACATACTCACACACATACCACACACTCACATACATACCACACATATACTCACACACATACCACACACACTTACACACACACTCTCACACACACTCACACACATACCACACATACTCACACACACACTCTCACACACACTCACACACATACCACACACACACTCTCACACACACACACTCAGAAACACACCACACACACAACCCCTATACACATTCACATACACACACCCCCACACTCATACAGCACACACAACACATACTCATACACACATACACACACACACCACATACTAACACATTCACACAACACACATACCACATACTCATACACACACACACACACACAACACATACTAACACACTCACACATGCACACATATGTGGTTCGGGTACATTCATGCATGTGCAAACATGCCTGTGTGTACACAGATCACATGCATATGCATATTCTCACATGCTAGCATACATCAGCCACACAGTTACATTTTTATGTGTACACATGGATTCTCCACAGGTCAGTATTCACATGCTCACACAAACAAGTGTCTACTCAAGTCATACGACCCCATGTACGCTCATGCACACCCACAAACATACATTCTGTTATGTGTATACAAACACACACGAGCGTCTAGAGAGACGGCTCAGTAGTTAAGGGCATTTGTTGCTCCTGCAGAGGGCAGGATTCAGTTCCCAGCATCCACGTGGTGGTTCACCACCATCCATGGGATCTGACACCCTCTTCTGATTTCAGTGGGCAACCTGCACATCCACGGCACACATGCATACACACAGGCAAAACACTCACACACATTAAGTAAGTGAAGTAAACATTTAAAAAACACTGACACATACTGTCTCACAATCCCCTAGCAGATCCTGGCCGTGGAGGACCAAAAAGTGAGTGCTGGCAGAAAGGTACAGTATGTGGCCCCTTCCCTGAAAGTGAGCTTGGAGCCTAAGGCGTTCCCCTCCCCTCCCCTCCTCTCCCCTCCCCTCCCCTCCCTCCCTTCTCTGCTCCCTGTGGCCAGCCCCTTCTCTACCTATTGCATTAAAATCTGATGCTGTGATAGGAGAATGTGCTCCCTTCTGAAGTAATTGAGCCATGCAAACACATCCAAGCAGACATTAACAGGGCTTCAGCCACCTGCCGTACTTACGCCCGCTGAGCATAAAGACTCGGCTGTTCCATTATCTCCTATGGAAGACTGTATGGAGGCCCCTGGGTCAACCTTCAAAGCAGCCATTTCTGGGGAGACCTTGAGGGGGTCCTCCTTGGAGTCAGGGCAAGCTCCTCACTCTTATCTACTCTCAGTTCTCAAGGGCAAGGCCCCTGGAGTCTATGAAAGTCAGAGCCACGTCTCATGAAAACAGGCATTTGCCCCCATTTCAAAGCATTCTCCGGGGCAGAGATCTGGGGGAATCTAGGTGGGGTGGAGGAGGAAAGGTGCCTCACACTGTCCCTTCCAGCTGGGGAAAGGAAGGAGAGCCACCCTGCCAGTAGCCCGGGGACACTTCCTTTCTCTCTGACCTGTGTCTCTACCAACTGACGGAGAAGGAGGATGGCAGTCTCTTACCTCCCCCAGCCATCCCCCACCCCCAGGCTCCAATCAGAAGGCATGGCTGAAACTATGGAAAATAATCACACAGTGGGCTGTTGTAGGGAGTGTGTGTGTGTGTGGGGGGGGGGTGTGACAAGGGTCTCGGCTCCACAGGCAGAAGGGATGCCACTACACCCAACCGTGAGCTGCGACAGGAGAAAGATGGACTCAGAGAAAGAGCAGCAGACGGGGAGACTGTCAGGGAGACAGGCTGAGAATTGCCCACACATGCAGAGACAGTCAGAGACAAATAGGCGCAGAGATATGGAGACAAAGAGAAGGACGGAGACAAACGGGCGGGGCCGGATTGTGGCCCATCCCTCCCAACACAAGGGCCAACTGAGGAGGCAGCGCACCTTCCAGAAAAGCCTTTCCTTGCTGGGGGATCCCTGACAGCGAGAAGCCCCTACTGTCATCCGCTCCCAGCGTCTGCCATGGGGGCTTAGCGGACTGACCGAAGCCAGAAGCATCTACTGTATGCAGCCTTATCCGTGATCTCAGAGTACTGCAAACTCCTGCAATAAACCACCATCTTCCTGAGCAGCCCATGACAGTGGGTGGATGGGCAGCTGTAAATCTCAGGGCATCAGCGCCCAAAGGAATATTACACAGCCATCCAAGGTGATAATTGTGAAGACTATGCCCGCAGAGAAAATTGCTGACAGAAAGGCTTTGCAGCTGGCGGGGCACGGGATTTATCTGCACCGTGATCCCTTGCAAAGGAAGCTGGTGTTTGCGGGTCTGTGAGAAGGGTGGGGGCTAAGGAAGCCAGCCTGGTTTCCAAGGGGGAATTTTCTCATCCCTTTATCTTTATCTCTGTAAGCATGGCTTGTGCAATAAATAACGTCTTCCTTATCATAGGACCATGTGCCAGTAAATGAGGTCTGCAGCTCGAGTCTTGCGCCCTGATTCCCACCCGCGGACACGCCAACCAACCAGAGAGAATGAGGGGGCCACGTGGGGCTCACAACCTCCCCGGACTGAGAGGGTAAAGCCACGATGCCGCCCGAAACAATAGCTCTAGAGATACAGGCTGCTGCTGTGAGTTGGGAGAGAGGCAGGGGCCAGGAGGGCAGACAGGGTCCCTGTCCTTGCTCTCAAGAGATCCTCTGTCCCTGGAACTCCGGAAGCCATATGACTGGGAACTTGGTGGGAGACCGGGAAATGGTTCCATTGTGAAGGGTTTGGTTTGGCCAAAACACCGGGTGTGGTGTAGCACAGCCAAGGGCACAAAGAGGATGACACGGGTCTGGGGGGGGGCGTGTCTGCTCTGTGCCTGTCCAGGGGTCACAGCATGGGATCAGCATGCAAGGACAGGGAGGTATGACAATCAGAGTGAAGAAGTTGGAGGGACAGGGAAGGATGGTGGGTGGAGATGATGGGGAGGGGGAGAGAGCCCTGGCTGGCTACAGAGCTGGTTAGTGAAGGATGTCAGAGGGAGAGAAGGGATGGACACACAGCAGGCAGAGCCTGTTAACAGCTCCATCCAGGAGTAAACAAGAAGGCAAGAGACTCAAGGAGCAAGAGGGGGTTCCAAGTGGGAGGAGCCCAGACCTGGGGCGCTTGCTGCCAGGCCAAGGAAGAGGCAGAGATATGCCAGGTTAACCTTAGCACAGGTAGCTGTGGGTGGAGCAGGGCAGCCCCCCAGGGCTCCTCATCAAGCTGTGCAGAGTCCAGTATCCTGCCACGGACAACTTAGAAATAGCCCTGGCTTCCCTGCGCTCTGCCCCACAAACAGCCTGCTGTCCCGTGTCATGGATGAAGCCGCTGAGGTTCACAGGGTGACTGGAGCAGGCAGGAAGGTAGCCTCTGGGTGTGCAGCATGTGAGTGCTGCCTTCCTCCACCTGCCAGATACCCTGAAGTGCATCCTAAGTGCAGGGAGGGGAGATTCATAGAGGAGAGACCCCAGCCTGCCAGCTGCCCACAGCCGCCCATCAACCTTGGCTGGGGCCCCACTCTATGGAGTGTACAGACTTGGCCCTCTAAACCAAGGACCCTCCCCCATGTCTCAGGTTCCCCCTAACAATCCCTACAGGGGTCTGAACAATTGCCTGGTACACTTCCTCTCAGAGAAGAGGGCCCAGCAACCTCTGAGGCTGCAAAGCCAGGTCTGAGTTTTCTGGTAACACCTATCCAGGGAATTGAGTCAGAACCCCAGGGTGTCTCAAGCCAAGCACACGGTTCAGGGATGTTGTCCGGCTCTGTACCCAGCCCTTGCCAGTCACACTCCCTGGCCACTGGGCTCTCGGTGCCTGAGTCTCGCGGCCTCTGACAGTGTTCCCAGGGATCACGTGATTTTGTACAGGCCGTCCTCGGTTGGTGGGGTTTTCGCCCTTGTCTACTGCTGCCATTCCTCTGGGTGTGAAGAATTTCCCTCAGAACCCCCGGGATTGGCAGGGGGCACAGCCTGGGAAGAAGCGTGGGCCTTCTAGGCACTGAGCTCACCCACTCATGACTGTTGAGGCTTCATTCCACGGAACCTCACTGGAGAAGCTGGGCAAGGTGGATGGCTGGTCCTGAGGTCTCCTTGTCCTTCTCTGGTCCTCTCCACGCAGCACAGAAGAATCAGCACACAGCACAGCCCAGGGTGCCAGGCTTGAAGAGAAAGAGCTCACAATCATTGTTCTCCATCCCCACCCTAGGATGGTGACAGGAAGTGCCCTCCCTCTATCCTGAGACCCAGACGGCAGGAATGTGGATGCCATGGGGCTGAGCCACAGAGAACTTCAAGGCACGTGCGCTTCCGAGAGCCCCTGGAGGTGGCTGTGCACTGTAAGAGGGGCCAGGGGCTTGGGTGCGAGGGTCTGGGTGGGGTGGGGTGGGGTGGGGTGGCCAGGTGCCCTTGCAACTCTGGCCTGGTCTGGGACCATCAAGAAGAGCCGGTCCTTGTTCTGCCTTCCCAGACAGAGCCCCAATAAACCTGTAATATGGGGTCATGAGGGTCAGCCATGGTCAGTGGGACAGCAGCCAACAGGGGAGAATGCAGTGGTGACTATCACCTCCTATCTTGGAGGGGTTGGGTTCTAGATAATTTCACCTCACAGGCCAGGCCAGTGAGGCTTGTCTCAGTACCTTTGTATGGTGGGGTGGGAGAGCTTGAGGACATTTTCCTAACTAAACCATTGCGGTCTCCTTCCCAGACATTGCCCGCAAGGACACCACAGCTGCCGTCAAGGGTGAGTTCTGAGAAGGAGGCCCCATCTGCCAGCAGGTCCTGGGCCTCCACCTCTACAGGGCAGAACCAGGCACAGCCTCAACCACACCCCTGTCCCCACATCCCGAGTCACTCTAGATCCTGACTCTGTCTCCCCTGGTCACCCTAGAAGTGACCCCATTCCCACAGGGCCACTCCCCAGATCCCTGACACGTCGTTGGGCAGCAGCATCCCTAAATGGGGGCAGTCTTCCTTAGGCAGGCAAGGACAAGAGCCCATGCCCCATGGATTCCATGAGACTCACCCCAGGACCCTACCTGACCATCATCCTGATGGCCAAGTACAGGTCAACAGCCGGGCGACATAAGTCTCCCTCCATACCAGCCCCACCAGCAGAGAGAGAGAGAGAGAGCCTTGCAGGGCCACATGGGGGAGCTGCCTGGACTGACCTACAGCCCTCCTACAGTGCCCAGCCGACCAGCTTCCCGTGGTGGCTCTCTGCTCCAGCCAGCGTCCTGCAGTGGCTCCCTATTCCTGTGGCTGACTCTGTGTGTTCTGCTTGGAGTGGTGTTAGGCCTGTGCTGTGGCCAGGCCAGTCACGTCACAGTAGCCCTGGAGGACCTCTGGGGCTGGCTCCTCGTCCTCGTCTTGCGCCTGTGGCATGTAGTCCTTGCCTGTTGGCACTGCCTCCTGCGGCTCTGACACGTGGCCGAATGGCAATTACACCTCTGACCATCGCCGGAGGGTGATGTTGGAGCGGGGCGGGTAGGGTGGTTTGGGGGCCATGGTGGTGTAGCCCAGGCACTAAGACAGAGCTCTGCTAGCCAGTGCTTGACAAACCCAGGGGCTCCAAAAGGCTGCTGCTGTGGATTAAGTGGGGAAAGGGGGTGCCTCTGGCTTGATGCTACAAGTAACCCCTACACCAGTCAGCACAGGCTGGGATCTTGGGGCTTTAAGGTTGTGCCAGAGAAAGAACTCAGCCACCGTGGGTGGGGACTCCTGTGTTCCCGCCGGTCCTTTGTCTTGGGATCCCTGGCCCGGATGCTGTCACACCTGGATGCTGTCACGCATGCCATACAACCCTTTGAAGATAAGTGTCACCTACATCTGAGGGGCAGTTTGGGAAGACGAGCCCCAGACTCCTGCTGCTTTGAAGGCTAGCCGCGGCTTCTGTCATACCATCAGGAGATGATCTCAGGGGCCTTCCTCTGCAGTTCATGGGAGCCCTGTGGGTATCTGAGCCTGGGTCTGCCTCCTCCGCTTCACACCGAGATCTGTGGTGTGGGAGCAGAGGTCAACTCTGCAGGCAGCAGCTCTCGGAACAAAGATATATATATATACTTTTGTTCTGAGAAGTCCCACTTCCAGGGCCACAGACAAGTCCAAGGCCATCAGGCCTGCCTTGTCTCCTGAACCCATGGAGACATAGTTCTGTCGTGCTTATTGCAAGGTCAAGGGAAGCAAGCACATCGTACTGAACTTCAGGACCCCCTAGACCTGCCTGGAGGGGGAGCCCTGAACACAGTGAGGAGGCCCAGTCAGACCCAGGAGGATCCACCAGGGGGACCCTGCACCACCCTGGAATAAACTTCTGATCAGGGTTTGGGAGCCAGGGGGAGGCTTGTGGTTGTCCTCTTAAGGTGTCTCTCTACTTATGTGGGCAGAAACAGATTCCATATTAAAACACCCACACCCTCTTCACCTCAGGATTATTACAGAAATGAGGGATGTAACACAGTTGTTGTGGAATCCCTTCAGGGCCAAGCATGCTCATCTAGACACCAGAGCATACCCTCCACCCACAGGTCCTTTGCAGCTGTCACTCATGAGAATTTGGGGGACCCACCATGCCTCCAGGACCACATCCTCCCCAGAAAGATGTGCCCAGATTTCTAGCTCACTGGGATGCCATCTGCTCCTCTCTGGCCTTCAGGTACTCCACACAGTGATCTCCAGCTATAAAGTTTGAGGGCACAGTCAGGGAGGGGCCAGTGGAGAGAAACCCTGCTTCCAGGAGCGGTCTAGAGAGGACCAGCCTGGGAAGCCACTCACCAGGATCAGCCATCACCGTGGCTGCTGTTGCCTGCCCCAGCCCAGCCGCCCCAGGACCCGTTCATCTCATCCCACTCTGGTAAAAGACAAGCTCATTACGGGCCTGTTACTCCAGCTATGGAAACAGACACTAAGAGATGAGATGGAAGACCTTGAGGTCACCCTTCCGTCCCTGCCTCTGAGAGTGAATACCCTCTAGGAAGGGCATTGGTCACCCCATGTTTTACAACAGAGAACCGTGGCTTCCCACCCCACAGCCAGCATTTGCTGCAGAGGCCACAGGAAAAGTGTGCCCAGCTCTGTAGGGGCCGCAGAACCCTACCCTAGCCAGTTTGGGTTTTCCGTTTGTTTCCTTTTCACAGTGCTAACCAGCACTGCTAGGCAAACGGTCTGCCACCGTGTTACATCCCCAGTCCTGTTTTGTTCCAGAATAAATGTCCAAAAGACATACACAGAGATACATGTGCCTAAGAGATGTCACCAAACCCCAAACTCATGTCTGAGGGATGGTGTAGGGATGGGGAGCCGGGGCCACAAGAGTCAAACTCCTTAAATGCCCAGGCATGAAGGACCGCCCATGAGCACCTGGAACCGAACAGGACAAGACCGTTTAAATCATAAACAAACAGCTAAAGCCTGAGAGTCAGGGGGTGGGAGGTGGGGCCCGGACTGGGCTGGCTGGTTGGCAAAGCCACAAACAGCTCATCCACACAGCATCTCAGATGTTTCATCTTTATTTTGATATTTTGACTTGAGAATCCGACACGTGGAGGCTTAGGACTCACCACTATCAGCTTTACCAGGAAGACAGAAACAAGGGTTGCCCTGAAACAAGCTGGGGAGGAGCAGGGGCATCTTGGGGACCACGCTGCATCCTCTGCCTGCCTCTTTGCCATACATCCGGAGAGGCTTCTCCTGGACAGACAACAGCCAACAGAGCTCCTAGGCCAGAGGCCCTTCCCCACGAGTCCCTGGGACATTGACATCCAGGGAAGTCTAGGCGTCTTTAGGTGAATGAAGGCCTCTCTAGACTTGACCAGGTCCCAACCCCCAAGAGACAGTGGCAAAGGCAGGCCCACACCTGAGGCAGGTCCTAGGTCCCAGGGGCCCCAGCCGGCCTCCTGTTCCTCTGGGTCCTAAGTGGCTACAGCCTTAGTAGGGATGTGGGGCAGAAGATGAGGAAGGAGCCAATCCTAGGGAGACAAAAGAGGGGACCCAGGGCTAGACAGAGTTCCGTGTCCCACAGATTAGGGCTGGTGTGAGGGTCTGGAGGAGAGACCAGGTCAGGATGGAGACCTCAGCCAGGCCACAAGCCAAAGCCCCCAGAGAAGGTTGGAGTGTCAGTCTGCCTGGCTCTGACCTCCCCCAGATAGGCACGCCCTTACACAGCACCCTGACAATCCTTGCTAGCTGGCTTCAGTTCTTAGGGCCCAAGTGATCCCCCTCAGGCCCTCACAGGGGGCCTAGGCCACACCTTTATGGAGCTAGCACCTTCCACCTGGGAAGACACCAGCCACTGAGGTGGACAATGAGCTGACACAGGTCGGGATCGCCTTGCCTGGGAACGGAGGAACAGTGTTGGAGCACATCTTCAGACTAGGGCCAGGAACACTGAGTGCACTCACTGAGATCCAGAGGGGCTGGGCCTCTTCCGCCATGGGGGCCCCACCCCTGGTACACAGAGAACCATGCCACCTAGAAAACCTCAAAGGGCGGAGGGTGGGGCTCTCCTGCCACAGCCAAGCAGCCCCAGATATCCTCACAGAGCAGAAGACAGAGCCTAGCCCAGGGTCCCACATTCCTACCAGGGTCCTCCTCCTGCTGCTTTGGGGGAGGGGTTACATTACCTTCTAGGGGCCTTAGCTGAAGATGCTATGGGATGGAAAGAGAGCCCCTCCAGGAGGGGCAGGGACTCGGGTGTGCCGGAGCCTGTGGCGGTGCCGAGGCTGCCAACCCAGCGCCATCACCTCCGCTCGGCAGTCACACTCCCATCCACACACAAGGATGGGCCAATGGTCACACAGAGGCAGAGCATGGATCACACTAAGCAAGGCCGGGACAGGAGCCAGAAGGCACCCCATCCCCAGGTCTCTGGTCTCTGTGCCACCACTGTCGGGCTCTCCACGGGAACACGAGCGCTCTGCTCATGGAGGGCAGAGCCAAGAGACACATGCGGAGCTGCGTTGGCCAGCCTGGGTGGGGCCCCAGCCACCCCTCAGGGCAGGCCTCGGGAAAGGGGGCCACCCCTGCACAGCCTAGATGACAGCACTCTTCTCCCCCTGGAAGGAGGTGCGGGAGGCTGGCCTGGCCAGCAGCAGCTCCTTCTCGTGAACCAGGCTGTCCAACAGGTCTTCCTGGCGGTAGTTGTGGTAAACCTTCAGGAACGCCAGGGTGGTGATCGCCAGCCAGGCCAGCCACGAGGCCCACAGGCCAAACTGCAGAGAAGATAGAGCAGCATCAGTGGTGGTGGTGGTGGTGGTGTGGGGGGGGGGGGGTGGTGTGGGGGGTGGCTCATTGTCCAGTGTGCTCCGTACCCACCTCCTAGCTCTAGCTCTGCAGGGAAGGGAAGGGCACACTATGGCCAGGGGGGGTCATGCCCCTGAGAGCCCATGCACACCCTCCTCTGGCTTACCCTCTGCAGTGGCTGTTAGGTCCATTACCCACAAGAAGCCAGGTTTGCGCAGAGGCTTGCGGTGCTCAGCCATTCTCACCTGCCCTGCTGAGGTTCCCCGAGGAGAAGCAGGACCCGGGCAATGCTCTCTTCCCACCCCGACCCACTGGGCTCTACGGAGTGCCTATAGATCAGGGAGCCCCTCCAGTCGGGGGGATAAATTGACCTTTTTCAGCTGTTTCCAAACAGCTGAAGGAGAAACAATGAAATCAGCTCCAGGTCTGCTCTGCATCAAACTGATTCTCATCTGAGCGTGCTTGTCCTCACACTGTGCATGCCTCTGTCTAATTGGTCCAAATTAGCTCTAAAACATCTTAAGCTAAAGTTGCGTGAAGGTCTCTCTGACCGTTTCAGCTCATCTCAGCAAAGAACTTTGGGACTTCCAAGGGCTTTTGTCAGTGGCAAGAATCATCTCAGTGCAGCCTTTGAGAAAGCAGAGCCTCCGGAAGCCAGACTGGGGCATGGAAGGAAGCCACGGAGGGGGAAAGCCCCATGCAGCAAGGACAGGCATCCATGCTCAGCCCCACCTAGGTGCCCCTAGCCTGCACCACCTGTCTGGGGCACAGATGCAGAAATCAGGGGACAGGGAAACCCTAAAGCTCTCCCCAGGGCCCTCAACTACCAATGTGTCCCCATAGTCTAAAAGTCACATGAAAGGGAGGACAGGGTGGGATCTCGATCTTCCTAGGGCAGGTCTCTCATTTCACCCTCAGACAGCACCAGGCGGCTCAGGGACCCTCCAGCATTCTCTGAACCCTTGGAGCCACGCCAGAATCCAAACCCTGTCCTGCTGGCAACCCCAGATCCTGCGCCCCATTTCCTGCACCTCTTGCCCTCCCATGCCCTCCTCTTTCCTCCCACCCACTCAGCACTTCCCACCCCTGCCTCCTGAGCTCACTCCGCATGTCTGCCCACGCCTTCTCTTGCCCGCCCCCCACAACCCCTGCTCAGAGATCCAGCTCTCCTGGATCTCCCAGCCCACCCTGAGGTGTGTGTATGGGGGGGAATCTCTTCCCGCTCCCCGAGCCTGCACCTCCCCTAACGGCCCCACCATAGCTGAATCTGGGATTTCCTTGCCTGGGATCAGGAGTCGGTTCTGTCTGTTGTGGTCCCCACCCCCATCCCCAGCATGGCCACTTCTCTTCCTGCCTAAAACACCACCTACCTGAGCGATAGCAAACTGATGGTAGAAGGCAGAGTTGTCCACGTTCAGCTCCAAGTTCACGTCCTGGTACTTCTCGCAGCTAAAATAGCAATGATGCCAAGTGGCTGGTGACTTGTGAGCCCCTGAGCCAAAAGGCAGCAAGCGGCTAGCTGAGGAGCAGAGAGTACCTCCCCCAAACAGTGAGGGGTGTTTCATGTCAACTTGACACAAGCTTGTCATCTGAGAGGAGGGAACCTCAACTGAGAAAATGTTTCCATAAGATCAGGCTGCAGGCGGGCCTATAAGACATTTTCTTAATTAGTGATTGATGGAGGAGGGCCCAGCCCATTGTGGGTGGTGCCATCCCTGGACTGGGGGTCCTGGGTTCTATAATAAAGCAAGCCAGTAAGCAGCATCCCTCCATGGTCTCTGCAACAGCTCCTGCCTCTAGGTCCCTGCTTTGTTTGAGTTCCTGTCCTGACTTCCTTGGATGATGAACTGTGATGTGGAAATGTAAATTGAATAAAGCCTTTCCTCCTCAAGTTGCTTTGTTTCACCCTAAGACAGAGGGAGCAGTCCCCAAAGGGGACTAGAAACAGATTCTCTAGAAACTCCACTGAGAGTCGGCTTTGACCCCTCATTGGGTGGAACAGTGGCTTCCAGGACGGGGAGCTGCAAATCGTTCCAACTGGCCCTGAACACAAGAGTCAGCCTCAGCTAACTTGTCACTGTCTGTCTGGCCCTCGGGGGGGGGGGGGGTCACAGGCTGCTCTGCCTAGTCCCTCAGTTCCCCAGTCTAAGACGGAAGTGATGCCCCTAGGTCACACTGCACAGTGGTCCTGCACAAGTGTCACGGGGGGTGGGGCACCCTGAGGGTAGCCTCTTCTCACCAACCACAGACTGCCACTGCCACACAGTGCCAACAGGAGCTGAAGCAGGCCATGTCGACTACAACGTCCTGCTGCATGATGCCTCCTGGCCCACAAGGACCTTCCCTGTGTGATGCTGTAGGCTACCAGGCCAGAGAAAGAGGTGCTTGATGCTAAGTGGGAGGGTCTTAGCCACAGGTGGGGGTCACAGGTGGGCAAAGCCTCAGGCTCAGAATGGGATTCAGGAAGAAACACATTTTGGGGTCCTGGGCAGGGGTGGGTCTTGTAGGGAGGTGGCTTAGGAGCAGGGCCCAGACGTACCTGAAGCGATGAGTGCCCTTCTCCGTGATGGTATCACACCACATGGTGAAGCCCACGCTCACGATGGTGCTGGCGATGAAGACCAGGAAGACCACAAAGGCACTGACCAGGAGGTTCAGGAAGGCGTAGAAGAAGGAGCTGCAGCGAGGCCAAGAGAGGGATGCTAAGCAAGCCACCCAGGGGCCCACCCCCAGAGGCTCCCCTTGACACAGGAAGGGGACACATTCCCAGGTCTCCTAGCGAGCACCCGGGGTCCTGATGGGAGGGAATGGGGCTCCAAGGGCCTGCTTCCCTCTCCTCCACCGACTTCCCAGCAAAAGCGGCTCATCTTGTTCTCTCACAGACCCAGAGTCGGGTCCTTGACACCACTGCTGTCCTGGGAAATCAGGGCCACGCCAACAACCCAAGATCATGAGTCCCAAAGCCCAGGAGCCAGCACACACACTGAAAACACAAGGCCCCCTTCTAAGGCTACCCACTCACATAGTCACAGCTGTGGATTTGTGTCCCCTCAAATACATAGATTGAAACCCCAAACCCCGTCATGAGCACCAGGCCTCTAAACCTAAGCAGAGAAGGGTACAAGAA